TTTCTAAATCGTTTGATAAAGTTTGGCATGCCGGTCTTCTTCATAAGCTTTCTTCTTACAGTGTATTTCTGGAAACATCTTTAAGATTATTGAATCCTTCCTTTCCAATCATAGCATAAGTTGTTCTTGATGGACAGCACTCTTCTTATTCTGTAACCTCATGGGTTCCTTAAGGTTCAATCCTTGGCTCTATACTCTTTAATTTACATTGATAAGAATTTAAATTAAAGAGTAATGTCATGATAAGAAGCCAACACTCTCTGATTGCTTGGAGGGGGCATTTGAGCTTGAAAAGGATTTCACTTCTGCTACTTCATGGGGCTCACAGTATGGGGCGAACATTAATTCAGATAAAATTTTTTTCAGCTAATCGTTATAGCAATAATTTAGACCTTCCTATATTTATGAATGGTAATGTACTCGATGAATCATCTACCCCTCATCTTATAGGTTTAATTTTTACTTTTTGATCTTTCTTGGAAACCATATATCAAATCTGTTGCGAAATTAGGGCGTTTTTAATATTTCATTTTTTTAGCTTATTTTATTTAGATTTTCTATTTCATATAGTTTTTGGGGTTTATATATATATATATATATATATATATATATATATATATATATATATATATATATATATATATATATATATATATATATATATATAAATACAATGTTAAAAAAAAGAAAATTGTTGTCAAAAAAAAAATGTACCTAAATATTTTTCTTTTTTTGTTTTCTTTTTTTTTTGTTAGGGCATTTGTTATTTTCCTCTACCAAAATTGATACACGGTAAAAAGCTGATAAAAATACAACAAAAATAAAAACATTTTTTGATATATAATTTTTTCGCAACTTTTCTCAGTCAGAATATAAAGGAAATACATTATAATTTGCGCTAAAAACATGAACAATTTTTAAGTTTGTTTTTTAAATGTTTGTGCTAAACTCTACTGTTTTTATAAATGCACATGAAAGTGAGATAACTAATTGCTATTTATGTGTATTTTTTTTAAACAAGTTTTTCATATAAGAATATAAAAATTCATTAATAATAATATTTAAATATAAAATATTTGGTTGTTTTTAATACCCCATTGAAATAGTCTGCACCTTTGTAGGATTATCCTAATTTTTTTTCTTTTTTCTTTTTTTTTTCAACATCTTTGCTTTCAACAAGGCTGCATGCAACCACTAGTTAGAGTTGGAAGTTACTGGAAAAGAAATGATGAAGATTGTAAAGCAAGATAACGATTGACAGAGGACTTCAAAGATTGCAAATAATATGAATCAGGAAAGCAAGATAAAGGAAGAGATAAAGAATAGAATCCACAGTAAGAAAGTGTCGAGCTCGATAAAGAGATACAACTTTAGCAGATGCTAATTTCACTTTTGTAGGATTTTCCAAATTTCCAAAAACTTTTGTTATTGACAGTACTCCAAAAGCTTGTGAGCTAGTGCACTGTGACTTAACTTTTTCAACAAAATTTTTTAGGATTAAAGTTTTTATATACATTTTCTCAGACAGAGGAATCATGTTCATTATCTTTAGTATTTTGGCATAATTTTGAAAATTGGGCAAAATAAAAGAAACAGTTTCAGACAAAAACAAATTTTTCAAATACATTGATAAAATGGTATTTTTTACTTAATTATTTCTGTCATTATAAAATTTATTAATCAAATATTATATTTTACAAATAAATAGCAATTTGTATTCTGATTTTCCAATATTATAAGTATTGAGAAAAAACGTCAAATATAGGAAAAAGCATTTTTAAAATCAAAAAATCGTGAAAATGAATTAACGTTAAAAAAAATTAACAAAGTTTCTAATAGTGCTAGCATGCATAGCAAAGTAGTTTCTTAAAAATTGTGAATAAATTTGATATTAAAACATACCATTGTTGTTATAAAATTATAAAATTGTTATTATAAAATTGTTGTTATATATAAGTTAGAGTTAAGTAAGTGTTCTTTAATATATATATATATATATATATATATATATATATATATATATATATATATATATATATATATATATATATATATATATATATATATATATATATATATATATATATATATATATTTGCTATTGTTTCGCAGTGGAAGCTATTAAAGTTCCACCACTGATATGGAACCATCAGGCCGGAAGAGTCTTAAGAGAAGAAAGAAATATTATATAAGTGCAAGAGAATGCTAGATAAATTATAATATTTGGACAGATGTCCAGTATTAAGAGGTGGTGTTAAAGAGGGGAGTATTATTCACTAGTTAAGTTAGAGTTAAGTAAATGTTCTTTAAGTTAGGTTTAAGTAAGAGTTGTTTCTGTAAGTTTGTGTTAATTATTGTGCTTTGTGTTTGTAGTGTTCTAAATGTTCAAGTTTTATATGTGAATTAATGTCTTTCTTTGTATGAATCTGTATTTTCGTAAATACTTTGATTTTCTTTGTTAAAAGTATTTTATAAGATATGTTTTAACATATGTTCATAGAATATATGAGAGTGTGGAGTTTGTTGCTATTTTTGTAAGAACTATGTGCGGAGTGCAGTACAATTATAGCAACACAGTTTGGCTCAGTGGTGTTGGTTCGGGGCAGTATGATGCTTGTTAGGTAAACCAATAAGTTTCTTATATTATTTATAGAGAGAATTATGTATATCTAGAATATTATATATACCGTGTATAATATATCCGATATGCATAGTATGTATGCTATAAAGCTATAGTGATTACCATCGTAAATTGGAGGTAATAAATTAGTAGTATATTAGTAGTACAAATTATTGTAATATAAAAGTAAAACAAGTTGAGGGGAAGGTGCTGCGCGAGTGGAGTTTGGGGTTGAGGTCATCATAATGGTCGAAAGTTGTGGCATGTGACAAACCTTCATTTCGTCAGGGCCATGTCTAAGCTTGTTTCGAAGAAATTAAAGTACTAAAACAACTCCATGGCCTACAGTTTAGTTACCACATGAGGTTTAGTTATGTGATGAACTCATACCCGAGGAGTCTCCCATTTTTTTTGGTGTGCGTATCGAGCATTATAAGGTCATACAGAACAGTGTAGATCATTATAATATGTTCTCACGCAATTATATAATACTGTGAGAATTGATTTAGAATCTTAGGGAGTTGGGTACGGGAGAACTGATTTAGGCATAGAAGTATGCACACTCGCATCCACTCATACAAGAACACAATTCTACATATACACGTATACACACCTAATGCATAAACACACGTACACATACATGCACACGCATATGCGCATACAAACACGCAAACACATGCACACGCAAGTGCACATATACTTGTGTGAGTACCACTATGCATAAAACAGATAAGTCAGGTAACGGAGTGAAATAGAGTGAAATAGAGGGGGTTGGGTGCGAGAGTATGGATCCAAATATAAATAGATGTGCACATGTATATGCACATACAAATATATCTGTATGAACACTACCATGTATAAAACAGAGGTCTATAGATACATACTGTCCATTTTTCCTTAAAATTCTTTTTTATTTGTAGCCAATATCTTGCTTTTCAATAAGATTCCTTTTATAATTGACCAATAACTTTCAATAACCGCTGCTCAGGACAATTTGGAGGATTTGCTTCCTTAGGTACAAATTCAACGCCATATTGTTCATATCATACTAGAGATTTCTTGGAGTAGTGAATTGTAGCCAAATCAGACCAAAATATTGTGGGCATTTCATGCTTTTTAAGAAATGGCAAAAAGCGTTTCTTTAAGCATTCTTTTTATATATAAATCTGTGTTTAAAGTTTTATGAGTAATGTATGGTGTACTTTTTAAACCATAGGAGCAGATTGCTTGCCAAATAAAGAACTTGGGAGCAAGATTTTCAGTTTGAATATACTTGAATTTTTTGGCAACATATCTACCTTTTGACTGGTAAAAACATTGCTGCCCTGACAATTGTAAAAAGTCCTTTTTACAATAGGTTTCATCATCTTCAACTATGCACAAGTTTTGTTGGTTTAAAAGTTTATAAAGCTTTTTTGAACAACGAATTGCTTTAATTTCTAATGGGTCATTTTGGAGTTTTCTTTTTATGATATGCTTTATATTCTTGAGATCTAAGTACTTTTCCTATCAAAGCTTGGCTGCATTTAAATTTTCTTGCAAGATCTCTCAGCGACTGACATGGATTTGCCTTTATGGAGTGAATGATTGATTTTGCTTTATATTTATCTTTAAGTCTTTTTTTTTTTCCACTTCCAGCTTTCCATAGATTGAGTCTGTTTATATTGGCACATAATAAATCCAACTGATGATTGAGAAACTCCAGTCAACTTTAAAATATCAATTTGTGACAATGAAAGATTTTGAAGAAAAATTTCTAAAAATTTTTTTTAATTTAATATTTGTTTACTCATTCTAATCTGATAGCAATGATAACTGATACTTATTACCATTACAATCAAACAACAACACATTTGCTTCTGTGTGCAAAAAAATTAAAAAAATTTGTCAAGTAGTTTTTGAGTAATTAACGATTAAAAGGCGCTGAATTTCATTGTGTTCAAATGAAAGAAACTCTATGTAAACATAGCTACAACTAACCTAAATAATGATACCTATCAAAAGAAATGTCTGCATTTATTATAAGAACTTTTAAATTATGAAACATTAGCTGCTAACTTAAAGCTTAGATTTTTTAATTTATAACTTTTTTATTGTTTACTAAAAAACATAAAAGTGAAGAGACAATAAAAAGTATAAGTACAGAAGTGGTTGGTAACAGACTTACCACGACCTGTATTTTATAGGTCCGAACAGCTAGTTAAAATATAATACCAAAATAAAACAATTTAAAAAACTTTTTAGCTGATTAAATTAAAAGGAATAAGTATTCATAGTTAATTATTGACTATTCATTTTAGGTTTTATAAATTGCTAATAACAATTTTTTTCTAATTTATTTTTTATTAGCATAATAAAACTTCAATGAAAAAATACCTGCCTGTAACTATCCATAGATTTAACAAGTAAACTTGCTGTTCTATCATAAAATTTGCTGAGCGCAATGCATAAAGGATTGTCATTGAAACCTGCAATATTTGTTGATACATTAACAAGGCTTGGGTAAAACAATATAATTGTTTCAACTACCATATCTAAATCTTGTTCTGCTGCTAAATGCAAAATTGTTCTCCTAGAGTTGTCAATCTTTAAAAGTTTATCATACTTTCTTTCTCTCCGTTCTTTCTTAGAGTCTTCTTCCAAAATAAGAATGACAAACTCATTGATCTAAATCAAATTATTAAACTAAAACTTAACATTTAATCAGGAAATCATCAATTTTTTGACAACCCAGTAAACTATATTCTTGGTAACTTTTTTATACAGTTGCATAAATGATCACATCAAACCACATAAGATCATAATTATATAGTTACATGAAACAAACACAATGTTTTCATCATAATAGTTACATGAAACAAACACAATGTTTTCATCATAATAGTTAAATGAAACAAACACAATGTTTTCATCATAATTATATAGTTACATGAAACAAACACAATGTTTTCATCATAATTATATAGTTACATGAAACAAACACAATGTTTTCATCATAATAGTTACATGAAACAAACACAATGTTTTCATCATAATTATATAGTTACATGAAACAAACACAATGTTTTCATCATAATAGTTACATGAAACAAACACAATGTTATCATCATAATAGTTACATGAAACAAACACAATGTTTTCATCATAATTATATAGTTACATGAAACAAACACAATGTTTTCATCATAATAGTTACATAAAACAAACACAATGTTTTCATCATAATAGTTAAATGAAACAAACACAATGTTTTCATCATAATTATATAGTTACATGAAACAAACACAATGTTTTCATCATAATAGTTACATGAAACAAACACAATGTTTTCATCATAATAGTTAAATGAAACAAACACAATGTTTTCATCATAATTATATAGTTACATGAAACAAACACAATGTTTTCATCATAATAGTTACATGAAACAAACACAATGTTTTCATCATAATAGTTACATGAAACAAACACAATGTTTTCATCATAATTATATAGTTACATGAAACAAACACAATGTTTTCATCATAATAGTTACATAAAACAAACACAATGTTTTCATCATAATAGTTAAATGAAACAAACACAATGTTTTCATCATAATTATATAGTTACATGAAACAAACACAATGTTTTCATCATAATAGTTACATGAAACAAACACAATGTTTTCATCATAATAGTTAAATGAAACAAACACAATGTTTTCATCATAATTATATAGTTACATGAAACAAACACAATGTTTTCATCATAATAGTTACATGAAACAAACACAATGTTTTCATCATAATTATATAGTTACATGAAACAAACACAATGTTTTCATCATAATAGTTACATGAAACAAACACAATGTTTTCATCATAATTATATAGTTACATGAAACAAACACAATGTTTTCATCATAATAGTTACATGAAACAAACACAATGTTATCATCATAATAGTTACATGAAACAAACACAATGTTTTCATCATAATTATATAGTTACATGAAACAAACACAATGTTTTCATCATAATAGTTACATAAAACAAACACAATGTTTTCATCATAATAGTTAAATGAAACAAACACAATGTTTTCATCATAATTATATAGTTACATGAAACAAACACAATGTTTTCATCATAATAGTTACATGAAACAAACACAATGTTTTCATCATAATAGTTAAATGAAACAAACACAATGTTTTCATCATAATTATATAGTTACATGAAACAAACACAATGTTTTCATCATAATAGTTACATGAAACAAACACAATGTTTTCATCATAATAGTTACACGAAACAAACACAATGTTTTCATCATAATAGTTACATGAAACAAACACAATGTTTTCATCATAATAGTTACATGAAACAAACACAATGTTATCATGATAATAGTTACATGAAACAAACACAATGTTTTCATCATAATTATATAGTTACATGAAACAAACACAATGTTTTCATCATAATAGTTACATGAAACAAACACAATGTTTTCATCATAATTATATAGTTACATGAAACAAACACAATGTTTTCATCATAATTATATAGTTACATGAAACAAACACAATGTTTTCATCATAATAGTTACATAAAACAAACACAATGTTTTCATCATAATTATATAGTTACATGAAACAAACACAATGTTATCATCATAATAGTTACATGAAACAAACACAATGTTTTCATCATAATTATATAGTTACATGAAACAAACACAATGTTATCATCATAATAGTTACATGAAACAAACACAATGTTTTCATCATAATTATATAGTTACATGAAACAAACACAATGTTTTCATCATAATAGTTACATGAAACAAACACAATGTTTTCATCATAATAGTTAAATGAAACAAACACAATGTTTTCATCATAATTATATAGTTACATGAAACAAACACAATGTTTTCATCATAATAGTTACATGAAACAAACACAATGTTTTCATCATAATAGTTAACCCAAATATAGATCAAAAATAAATTAAATGAAGGCATATATATTTAACAACAATAAAAAACAGCAAACAACAATAAACAACAACAGCAAATAATAATAAACAATAAATGGGGAATGACAAACACTCTAATACAGAAGGTGAGAATGGTTTTAGTGTATAGTTGCTACAAAACTACACTGATACTAGCTCAAAAACAACAAAAAAAAAAAAAATATCAAATTCAATTACACTAAATAAATTAAACAATTAATTACTTTTTAATAATAGCAATTTTATTATAATAATAACAATAGTAATAATTAATAGTTGTTTTATTTTAAACACTTTATATATTTACTAAGAGCAAAACTTTAAACTATATTGTGTAAGAAAACATTTAAATTGTTTTTTCACAACTTATTTTTATTTAAATGTTGTTACATATCATTGAATAATTTTAAATTTATGAATATTGAAACAAAAACTAAATTAAAATTAAAATTAAAAATGGATTAAAAATAGCTATAAGTTTTCTAATATTATGTATTTTTTTTATAATAATATAAATAAGTTTTTATAATTAATATAAACTTTTGTTTCTATTTATCATAAGTTATATAAAAATATTATTGTTGTAAAAGTTATATAAAAAAATAAAAGTTATATAAAAATGGCTCTATGAATTAGTAGTGATTTTTAGCATAACTTTAACACGATGACAAAGAAGACAACATTTTTTTATATAACATTGCTTAAATTATTAAACCCTTTATTAAGGGGTTGTTCATAAATGACGTCATGCTAAATTTAATTTTTGTATAGATGTTGGAGATCATTTGCACTTTATATAAGTATAATATTTATATATAAGTATATTATATAATATAATATTTAAGTATATATATATATATATATATATATATATATATATATATATATATATATATATATATATATATATATATATATATATATATATATATATATATATATATATAATGCGGAAAATTAGAAATGGAAGAAACATGGAATTGATAGTCAAATTTTTTATTCACACTGTCTAGACGGGTTGGATAATTTTACATATGAATGCTATGTTAAAATTCCATGAGTTTCAAAAGGATAGGAGGTAGTTTTTCCATCCCGGTTAGAAGGGATGATTTTTATCCATATGAACAGCCCTTTAATTATTTATTCATTTATTACAAATAATGGCAAAAACTTACAAGAAAATAAATAAAAAGATTCAAAGCAAAAAAAAAAAAAAAAAAAAAGACGCCTAAGTACATTTGAAATAAAAAATATTCTTAGTAAAATATAGCAATTATTATATATTATAATTTTATTATTAAAATAATGTATTAAATAATTTTATTAAATAATAAACTAGGAACTTTTATCATTTATGAAAAAATAATTTTCACCACCAGTAAAATGAAACTAAATTAGTGAAATATTTGTCAACAAAGCATATCTTAAACAATAAAACTATTTTTTTTAATGCTTTTTTAAAATTTGGATGATTTTATGAAATTTCAGTTTATCTTTTTTTCCAAATTACAGTCTGATTATATTTCAAACATTTTTCAACCCGCCAACTAGTGCATCCAATACCGATAACATTTTTCAATACCGGTATTTCGGTACTGAATTATTTCAATACCGGTAATACCAGTATTATTTATTATTATTTTAATTAATCATAATATGAATAAAATCTCAAATAAATAGTAAAACTTCTTTGACTCAACATGCTATTTTATTTTATATCAAAATTACAAATTTTTCATTTTTCACTTTTTTCTCTTTTGTAAAGTATGCCCACAAGAAGCATTCAGAGTACCATCTTTAAGAGATGATCGTAATTTTGTGACAATGTTGCCACTTGCTGAAAATCCACGCTCCAATTTGACACTTGTTGGCTTTACAGTTTTCAAGTATTCATATGCATTTTGCAAATATACACAGCGAGTTTTTCGATCTTCGAAAACTACCATCTCATTGCGTATGGTTTTTGATAAGTTATTCGAAATGTTCAATCTTTTCTTGCTGTTACATTTCTTATTACTCAAAATTGTCATGTCAAGCTTTTCTTTTAATGACAAGTTTTCAGTGTTGTGAACAGAATCGCTATCAGAAGATACACTGGTGGAAGGATTATAAGCTCGCTGACTAAGCCGATCATTCAGTCGAGCAATGGTATTTACAATAGCTGATCCAAGTTTTCATAACGTTGATGGCCTTTGTGCAAATAGTGCAGTAAGCTGGAAAAAAGTGTACATCGCTCATTGATTCGTCACACTAAAGTAGCTTTTAACTTAACAGCTAAATCTGTGCCTCCAATGTTATTTATCATAAACATTAGTGTTGTATCAGCTAATAATAGTGTTGCATCATTTCGACACAATGCTTCCACAGCCAATTTTACTGGTGCAAGACATTAAACAACATCTAAAATTGAATTGAACTCCTTATCAGTTATTCCAATTTTGAATTTAAGGTCAATCAGCGACTTGCGATTGCAGTTTTTCAATTTCACAAAACGTTCGAGCATAGTGTGTAAGCTACTCCAGCGAGTTATGGAGTCAAGTATCAATGGAAGACCTTTACCGAATTCCTCTACTGTGTATTTTTACACAGTAGAGGAATTTGGTACCTTAGTGATAACGGCTGCAGATCATCAATCAGTTCAATAGGATCATATTTTTCACTCAT